GTTTGGGCGGGGGGATTCCGAAAAACCCAGCCCGTTTTGGCCCCCCCCCCCCTGCTTTCGAAAAGGTTCGATTAAAAGGGAACCTTTTTGGGTTGGGGGGGGGGGGGCAGGAGGAGGTAGGAGACGGTTGGGGACAAGATAATACATGGGTGGTAATAGAATTACAAGGCAGAGCGGACGGGCATCCCATGCGCAGAACGAAGCTACAGGCAAGACCCCGGGTGAAAGAGCCGGGGTCGGCGGCACAACGGCTATGGAGAAAACGCCAGTGCAGCAGCTGCGGCATTGTACAAAGATGAGACTTGTTAAGAGAGAGAGAGAGAAAGAGAAAGAGATCGATAGATAGATAAATAGATGGATAGATAGATGGATAGATAGATGGATAGATAGATAGATAGATAGATAGATAGATAGATAGATAGATAGATAGATAGATAGATAGATAGAGAGAGAGAGAGAGAGAGAGAGAGAGAGAGAGAGAGAGAGAGAGAGAGAGAGAGAGAGAGAGAGAGAGAGAGAGAGAGAAATAGTAGAGCCGAGGAAGTAAAGCGGTATCTACGGCGCGGCACACCGGAAACGGTGGCATCTGAATGAGTCTGTCCAACGGCCGGAAGCAAGGAAGAAATGAGTCTTAATCAGCAAGGCAGGCAGGCCGGCAGGCAGCCACACAAACACCCTACGCGTTCTCGGGTGTGAACCTACTACCCCGCGTTGCTGACGACCCCTCTCCCTAAAAAAACACACTGCATACCAGACACGACTGCATCGGGTGTACGGTGAACACGCACCTCCGAGCTCAAGTCCAGTTCCCCGGTCTGCTGCAGATCTCGCAAAGACTTGGCGAAGTCGCTGAAGGTCCCCGTTCCTTCTCCACCCGTCCAAGGGCGGTCTTCGCTGCCGCCTCTGTCGTCGCCGCCACCGCCGCTAGCGGTCGGCGCCTTCGCGATGGCAGCGGGAGATCTTGTCCTGCGTGAGTTTTTGGGGGTGAGTTTTTCGGCGACAAGGGGAGTGGAAGGGATAACATCAAGTGCATGAACTGTCGTATGGTGCGTCCCATGGGCACCCAATGGGAACCCACGGTGCGTCCCAGGGGTTCCCACGGTGAAACCGCCCATGGTGCATCCCATGGGTGCCTACGGGTTGCAATGGGGCGCCCCATGGGTACCCGTGGGAGTAGGACAGCAGCAGCAGTTTTGGCCGCGGGTGTGCCACAGGGAGGGGCCGATCGAGCCGAACATCTCTGTTTGAGTGTACCCTTCGAACACGCCGTTCGACAAGCGAGCGACCCACGCGCAGCAGGAAACAAATCGTCCGACTCTGTTTCGCGCGTCCCCAAACACGGCTCGAAATCAGAAAAAAAGAAAACGTCCCAACAAAATTGTGCTTCCTAACCATGACTCGAATCATAAAACAAAAGAGAATACGTCCCCAAAAAAATGCACTTGCGTCATCCCCCCCCCCCCCCCTCCCTCTTCGTCCTCCCGCAGGAGACGGCCCCAAAATGCCGCGCAAGTGGAACCTCCTGGCGGCTCTTTTCCCTCAGCACATACGCCTCCCAAACTACTCTGACTTCTGCGTGATGAAGGGTACACGTAAGAGTGCTATTTTATCTACCTGGCCAGGATTTCCGCCACTCGTTGCTCCGTGGTGAGCGTCGCCTTTGCCTTGGGCGCCAGCTTACTCTCCTTCTTCTTGCCCCGCCTCTTCTTAGCTTCCGCAGATCGCGTTAGCCTGCCCACGGCGCACACGTTTGTGTAGCCCCGGCCCGAAAAGGGAAACAAGGGCGCGAAAGAAAAGGAGGCACACAAAGAACAGATTCCTACAGATCAAGCCAGCTCTTGTGTATGCATGTCCCTTGTGATCGGTAGGGCACAGGCGACCTGTGTTTGTTTGCTCCGCGGCGATCGGTAGGACGTAGGTGAGCTAGCTTAGCTCATGATTTGTCCCATGTGTCTAAAGGATGAAGGATACAAACGCCAAAATAGAACGAAACAGAAAAGCAGCAGCACAGAGCAACAACCCATACTGCGGGCAATGGAACTGGAGCACCAGCAGGACGATGCCGAGGCATAGAAGAAGGTCTAGGGAGCAACAGTAGTGGCGGGAGTGCACATCAACGCACACGGGGAATTCCTCCAAGGCGCTGTACCCCGTGCCTCCACGGGCCCCCGCGAAAGACAAAACGCGCCCACCCACCCACCTGCTCGACCCGCCTGTGGCGTCGAAGTCATAGATGTCACCGCCCTTCCCCCCCTCGTCGTGCTCATTCCCAACACCACCTCCGCGTCGTCCCCCCTCACCCCCGCCCACGGCCCCGTCGAGCCCATGCCCCCCCCAACGCCCGTCGCCGTGGCGGTTACCAGGCTCGCCGCCGGCGCCGCCGCTGTCGGAGAGGGAGAGAGAGAGGGAAAGGGGGGAAAACCCGCCGCCGCCGCCGCCGCCGCCGATGCCGGCGTCGCTACCCCCCGATAGCGGGGACGGGGATTCGCCTGCTTGGGTTTCAAGGGCAGACAAAGGAGGACGAGGACGAGGACGAGGAGGATAACTCAATTTTGGTGCTAGTGTTGTTGTTTCGTTTTCGTGTCCGCTGCTTCCGTCAAATCTACTTCAAAAGACAAAAAAAAGGTATGCGTACCAAGTGGTACACCATGCGGATCATTTGCTACTTTCGCCTGTACATCTGGTCGTGTCTCCACACGTCCATGCATCAAAGATAAGTAGAGGTATCTATGGTTCACGCCGCACTTTTTGTGGGTAGTTTCGCCTGAATGAATGCGTCTGGGGCCGGGCTCGCCTTCCGGGGGCAGTGTACAGCCTGAGCCTGGTGCGAATGAAGATGTTCAACGTAAAACCGTACAACAATGTACCATCTGTAGTATTGGATAGAAAATATCTTGGATTTTGTGTGTAAATATACGTATGCACGTGGAGCGGTTGCCCGCGATCTGGAATCAACCTTGGCGTTCACACGCTGTTGGAACGAGCGTCGCCCACCATATGCAGGTAATGTGTGCACGGCGGATGGTTACAAGACACCGCTGTGCCGAGTACTAACTATATACAGCAGTGGCGGCTACGGTATAAGAGAGACTATCCAAGAGAGAGCACCGATTTACGGGAGCCAAACTGGCTTGTCACGACCATGAGAAATACATACATTTCACAGCAGTACGGTTTAAGAGAAAACCAGATTTAAGAGAGAAATACTGGCTTGTCACGACCCTCTATTACAATAACATCTGGGAGATACTTGTAGCGGCCCTCGTCGTCGTCGGAAGCAAAGTGATCCGCTGTTACCGGTGATGAGAAGAAACGGGCCTGCCGATAAGATGTATTGTAAAATGTAAGTTACGTATACAGATGTTTTTGTACTTAGCACCAGCTGGCATCACTGGTATAAATCATCAGTGTATAGACTTAAAAAGACTCGAAATAAGTCCAGTACCCAGCCGGTTTCCCTCCACTCACTGAAAAAGACTCCACCACATCCCGTTCGACTGTGGGTATATCTCGAATGGGTAGTCTTTCTGTGTGCGTTTTTATTATTCCTTAATGCAAGTGGAGTGTTTGATTTGAATATGAGGCAACGGCCACTTTTTGGGACAGGAAGAGAGAGGGGCAACACACTCAAGCAGGCAAGCATTCCGGAGAGGAAAACGAAACCAGGACGTCATACCCTCCTACCCTTACATATGTACATGCAGTGTGCTCGCGCAGGTGGTAGAGTAGTTTTCTGCGCCGTTGCAAGGATGACGGTGGTTGTGTCAAACATCTCAAACTGAGCGGGGGAAACCATTGCTGACATGCTGCTATCGTGGGTACTACGTTGGCCTCTTTCGGCTGCTTCAGTCGTACCATGTTGACAACAACTTGCTGAGCTGACTGGGGACCAACCGAGGCTGCATTAGGCAATCGTCGTCGCCACAGGTAAACCCGTGAAAGAGCTAGAGGTCGCGGCGGATGGAACGTGGTAGATTTGAACGCCTATGATCGAGCGTTTGAATATATAACGTCGCTGATGATGCTGCCAATAACTGCTGTCGACGGATTCGATCATACTTCTCACTTTGGCCCCGCCGAGTTCGCCAGTTTCTTTCTCCTCCAGTCTCGCTGGACCTCCCGAGCCTTGAAGCCCCGTCCATCCCCCCTCGACCAAGCAATAGAGCAGTGAGTGAACAGCAGCAGTCAACCTCAACACACACAGGAGCGGGTGCCGCTGACAGGCATCTCCGATATCTACGGTATAGGTGGGCTATTTTCTCAGCTGGCGTGCCCCCGATGTTGGCACCCACGGCAGGCACAAGGCCGTGCTGCTGCTGTTGTGTCACATGCTCTTTGTTCTCTCGTGCGACCTGCCTTGTCGCAATACAGCAAGCAGCATGGCAGAAGTTCTATACGGCGACTACAATGGCTACCTCCGGCCGCTGAGCCTGATGTACTTCTCGCTGGACAGTCGCTGCCTGGTGGCCGACCATCCACGCAGCGTCCAGGAGGAAGTGGAATCCCACTTCTGCCCACACTGCACCTCGTTCTTCAGAACGCCCGATGCGATGTCAGCGGAAAACAGGTGGGGGTGCCCGTCCGACGTTGTTGTTGTGCGTGGAGGTAGTACTGTAGTGGCAGGAACCATTCTGTGGGCCCGATTTGATGCTGAGCTATGTAGTGCGGGCTGAGCTTTCTCCTGTTCCGCACTCCTGCATGTGTGCACATTTTTGAATTTTCGTCGTGTTTTGTTCTTTGCCCCCCCTACAAATGTGATCAACGCGCATCGCCGTACATAGACTGATGCTGCACACATGTACACCACCGGGCAGCAATTGAATGCTCCACGTACGTTTGACCATATTTAATTTGTTGAGTATTCCCCTAATCCCTTCACATGATCATACGCTCACAGGCATCCGTAACTTGTATTTTCCTTGTGACGCAAGATACCACACCCCGTCGATTTGCTTTGACCGAATTTCAAAGCTCGCTTACTTCCACGACGAAGAAGAGGCACAAATCGTGTGAAACGTTTACGGAAAGCTCTCGGCGAGACGGTTCCAACGCCGCCATTTTCGTCACCGCCGTTGTTTCTACTTTGGAGTAATCGAGCTTTGAAAATTGATCCCGGGGGGTGTGGTATCTTGTGTCACCCGGTCATCCGTACCACAGCAGTTGCTGCACGAACAGAACAACGAACGGCAACGTACGGACTCAATTCGTCTGCGGCGCAAAGCTTACAATTCGATAGGGTTTCAACGGTGCTCTCTATCTCCGTCTTCAAACTTCCAGGCCATCAATCTAACATGTCTAGATTATCCAAGAACAAGCGCTTCATCTCTAACCAGTGCTGTCAGCGTTCGGATTTGAACTCAAGCCCTCTATTTATGAACTCAACTTTTGTGCAGTAATGCTAATATCCGAAGGAGGAGCCAGCGCTTTTGAGATCAAGTCGGAATGAGGGGCCAACCATCCATATACTGCTGTGTAGAGTTTCTCGTATGTACAGCAGGACAATTACAGCAGTGTGCGGTTTTCAGCTTTCTAGGAACCAAACAAGCCTCTGTATCTAGATACCAATCGAGACAGGCATGCCTGCTGTGCGCGTCGTACACATGGCTAGAACATTTTGGTCATCCCACTACAGAATACACCAGCCGCAACGACCCCCCCCCCCCCCCCCCTCGCCATTGAACGAAAGCCCGCATTGGTTCCAGGGATCCAGGGT